GTTGTTGTGTGTTCATTTTCATTGGTTTCCAGGAAGTTTTTAATTTTGTCCTTGATCTCCATGGTAACCCATTCATTATTCAATAACATGCTATTTAGCCTCCATGTTTTCAAATGTCTTTGCATGTTCTTGTTGCAATCGATTTCTAGTTGCATGACATTGTGATTTGAGAAGATGCTTGATATGATTCCAATCTTCTTGAACTTGTAGAGACTTAGTTTGTGCCCTAACGTGGTCTATCTTTGAGAATGTCCAATGTGCACTTGAGAAGAATGTGAATTCTGCAGTTTTGGGGTGTAATTGTCTGTCGATATCTATTAAATGTATCTGATCTAGTGTTTCATTTAGAGTCTGTGTTACCTTGTTAATTTTTTGTCTAGAATATCTATCCAGTGATGTCAGCAGGGTATTGAAGTCCCCTGCTATGATTGTATTGCTGTTGATTTCTCCTTTGAAGTCCTCCAAAAGTCTAAAGTGGTTTAAATGTATCATTTGTGATTTTTAAAAATAACATTTGTTTTTTCTAATTACTCTGTAATGCTCGTTCATTGAGCAAAATTTAAAACTATAGAAAAGTTCGAAAAGGAAAAAAAATTAAATCACCTGTAATTTCACCACCTGAAAATCATTGTTGTTTAGGTATATGGCCTTCAAGTCTTTTAAAACATGCAAGCATATAATACTACATCATTTGTGATTTCATTCCATTTCTGGGTTAATGGTTATTTTTCATTAAATGCAATACAGACCTACTTCACATTTTTATACCTTTTAAATACCATGCAGTATCTACACATCTTTTAATAACATGTTCTTTTGCAGCTTTTTCTCTTCTTGGACTAATTTTTTTTCCTTCTATACTTATACCATCCTTCTCAAAAGTTAGAGTACTTCGTTATTCAGTAGATTATTTTCCTTTTGTAAAGTTTATGTAATAGAAAAAAACAACAAGGAATGTAGATACTTACACTGCACAGAATTCTGCAAAGTGTTTAGCAAAGTGAAGTGAACAGAACTTCTTTCGTTTCAAAAGGAAGACAAAACAAGTTGACATAAAAACCCTCCTATACAAAGCACTCAGAGTACAAATAGGATCTAATTTCACTTATATGAGGAACCTAGAATACACAAATTCATAGAGACAGACAGTGGATTTTTTTTTTAATTTGAAAATCATTATTCAGGTTTAACAGCTACAGAAACATTCCCCAAAATTATAATAGAATTGCAGCAACCAGGAGCTGGGGGGGAGGGAAGAATGGGGAGTTATTTTTTTAAAAGGTACAGAGTTTCTGTTTTTCGATGATGAAAAAATTCTGCTAGTGGATAGTGGTGATGGCTATATAACATTGTGAATTTGTTTAATACCACTGACTTATACACCTGAAAATTGTAAATTTCATTTATTTCCATAAAAATTGTTTTAAAAGCACTTAAAAGTATGTCAAAACTAATGCAATATAAATAATCATTGCCTCTATTTAACAATTTTGATATTTAAGCTCCAATTACTTATTCAGTATGAACATTTCCCTCCACCCCCTCACTGTAATTGCAGTATTTCTTCTTCTTGTTAACATTTTTCTTGTGGAAGGCCCAGAGATTGTGATTTGAGGGGACAGAGGCCCACCCCGTTTGCTATAATTTAGTAAGCTTTGTTGACCTATATAAGGTTATAAGCGAGGAGGGAATTAGGGGGATTAGAAAGATTAGTCAGTTGCCACTCCTAAAAATATCAAAGTGATTTTTTTTCTTAATCACATAACTGTAAACTGTGTACTCAGAGCAAACTAACTCTAAGGTGAAACCTAAAGTATGCATTTTTTATTACATTTGAATATAAATACAGACAGATGATAATACTGGCATATGTTTTGCCATTCTTTTAAATCTCTAACATATTTTAACATTTGAAAAATTTCAGAATCATTGATCAGTAATATGTCTCATAAATACTTGTTGAGTTAATAAAAAATTACAATCATTTTGTTAATTTATACCACACCTACCTTATTTTAGGCAGTTTACTGGGATAATATATTATAGAGCAAGGTTCTACAAGACTAATATGTTATCCAGAGACATTGGAGCAATGAGAAATAAGGATAGAAATACAAGATAGAGTAGGGTTGCTGTTTGTATTATAAAATCTTATACAGTTTCCTATAACAGAGATGAAAAGGAAAATGTGTTTAGTGACAAAGTTCTGTGTCCATCAGAATCATAAAAAGTCATTCTATTGTTGAAATTTATTGAAAAAACAAGCATACTATATATTTCTTTAAAAAATTATCTTTTCTTGCTTTTAGAGAGAGAGGAAGGGAGAGGGAGAGAGATAGAAACATCAATGAGAGAGGACATCGATTGGCCGCCTCCTGCATGCCCCCATTGGGAACTGGGCCCACAACCTGGGCATGAGTCCTGACCGGGAATCGAACCAGTGACCTCTTGGTGCATGGGTCGATGCTCAACCACTGAGCCACATTAGCCCGTCCATACTATATATTTCTTAAGAGAAGTTAACAGAAAATATTTTTATCAGTAAACAGTTCTCCCAGTTACAAACTCATAGGTCCCCAGTGGCCTCAGTGGCTGGTTAATGAGCAGGCATTTTTTCAGCATCTGGGCAACAATCTACTTTATCATCAGGTGCAGTGGAAAAATAGAATTGTAATAGAAAATGTGTTGGCTCCGAATACAGTGGCTTTCGGACTGATCCACAGGGTTTAAGAGTCTCACAGAGTGGACTCTGGATGCCGATAAGGGCCTAAGAGTGCTGGGTTTTTAACCAAATCAGCATTCCTTTGATCTCATTTGCAGAGTGAATTTCTGTAAAATTTCATTTGAACAAAGGACGTAACAGCTAAAAAGATATTTGAAAATCACTGGCCTAATAGTAGAGTAGGGATCATTGCTGAATAAAAAGACATCTAAGACCCTGTGAAATTTGGCCTGGCCTCCTAAAGGACAGAAACCCTCTGATCCCATGAAGCACATCGCTATGTGAGGCTTTGCTATCCACATGTTTTGGTGCTGTGTACATGAAGTCACCTACCCACCTGTCTAGAGATTAAGTTTCGTCTAGACTGCTTGGTGTGTTTATGGTTTCTATTTTACATTCAACTTTTAAATCCACATATATATGAATATAATTTGAGTAGGGACACATCTTTGTTGTTTTTCTAAAAAATATGTTATTATTGATTGTTTTAGAGAGAAAGGAAGGGAGAGAGAGAGAGAAACATCTATCGGCCGCCTCCACTCACTAGGGATTGAGCCCAAAACCCGGGCATGTGCCCTGACTGGGACTCAGACCAGGACCTCTCAGTCCATGTGACACTGAGCCACACCGGCCGGGCAACTTTTTTTTTCTTCTTCTTTTTTCTGAAATAACCAGTTAGCTAGCATTTAAAACATTTTTTTTAAACTGGTCATTCATCCTTTCTCTCTGATTTGAAATCTCATCTTTGAATATCTTTCCCAAGAGCATTCTCCAGTTTTTGAAATTGCCGGTAAGACCACTGCTACCGTAGGGTTTCTGTAACGCACTTAAGTGTAATACTTAAACTGTTGCGTTGAATCTTATCCAGTGTTTGCTTGTTATTCTGATTCTTGAAAATCATAGGCCCCCGAAGTATTGGCCTTACCAGAGCTATTTCATTATCAGCCAAAGGTTTGTTCTTTTTGTCAGCTCACAACCTGTCAGGAATGAAACCAGTCAATGTTAAATGAGGGTCATATGTGATTCTGAAGAATTCAGAGTGGTTGCAGAGATGAGAAAGTTTAATCTTCTCGCTTTGTGATAGGGGAAATATTAGTAAACATTGAAAATCAAGGTGTAAATAACAGTATTTGAACTTAGAAAAAGTAGCCAGAATGCTCCGAAGCTAGCAACATTCCATTAATTATGTTGAATAAGTTATTGATTTTAAAATGGATAAAGTTGCCAGCAATGCTAGTTAAACCCTATCAACTCCATCACTGATGCTGTAGTTAATCGCAGCTTCCAAATGCCACTGCTACTAGAGCAGTTCTCTTGGGGCTCCACTTCACCTCTACTGCCCTGCACAGGGATCCAGCCACGGGTGGTGAAGGCGCAGTTTCTCCAGAAATGAAAGGTACATTATGATTCTGTAGGTCACTTGTGAACTGTTATGGCAAAGCTACATTATGAAAGTATTTTGCTAAGAAAATAGTTACCAGAATTCACAAAATCTGAATCCTAGTTTTGCTGTCAACTACATGACCTTGAATGAGTGTTACCTAATTATTTTTTTGTTTTCCTGGTTCTTTTTGTACTAAATAGGCGTTTTTCCAAATGTATTCTATAGACCAAATGTGTTCTTTCGTCACAGGGTGCTCTGGGAGAAGGTGTAGGGATTCACTTTTAAATGCTAGAGAAATGCTGTGTACTAGACCCTTCTCTGTGTAGCAGGATGTCAAAGGCTCTAAGAAGTGTTACATCATTTGGACCCATTTCTTGACATCTCAGAGAACTGTGTTCCATGAAGTCAACTTTAGGAACCAATTCGAGATGTCTGAGGTTACTAAATCTTGATAATTCTAGTTTAGTCAGAACGTTTCATCTTAATACGTTATTTCAAAATTACTTTAATTCGTAATATCAGTTGAGAAAACTCTGGGAAAAGTCTGTAATTGTACAGTGTCCTAGTACTTGTGTCTTTTAAGCACAGTGATGTAGAGAAGCACTGTTTTCCCCTGTGAGCACCAAAACTTTGGTCTGAAATGGTCAGAAAAAGGCAGAGTCAGAAGTTTCCTTTCTTTTCAGGAGCTCTAGCCAGAATGTTTCTTGAAGGTGCAATTTGATGTTAGGCACTCTTTATATCCAATATATGTTTTCTTTTTGTTTAATGTAATTTCAGCTGTTTTGACTCAGAGTGCATAGACCCCTAAGGATCTTTTATTTTAATTGCTCATAGAATAATCCTAGTTTCCTAATAATAAAGTTCAGAGGAAATCTGTCTTCATTTTGTTTGTAGGATGGGTGCTGCAGATAATATATATAAAGGACAGAGTACATTTATGGAAGAGCTGACTGACACAGCAGAAATAATAAGAAAAGCAACCTCACAGTCCTTGGTTATTATGGATGAATTAGGAAGAGGGACGAGCACCCATGATGGAATTGCCATTGCTTATGCTACACTTGAGCATTTTATTAGAGATGTAAGTATGTTGCATATTTTTTGGTACATGAGTGGTACATACTATACAGATTGTTTTCCTGACTTCAGTTTTAAATATTCAAACCTATCTTTAATTGTTACGGTTGACCTTATTCCTGCAATTGTCTATTCGAATGTTATACGTTGAATTCAGATAGATTGGTCCTAAATAATGTTTGTTATTCTTTGATGTGCCTCCCTGGCAATATTTCCAATGAGAACTCGATCTTATTTTCATGGCAAGCTCTATATCAAGAGAAGGGACCATCTACCTGCAACCCAACCCTTCAGGAAAGAACAAAAAGAAAGTGCCATTTTTTTACCCTCTGATATACTTTTTTTGCAACAATATTCTAAAAGAGCTCAATGTAAGGTCTTTGATCTCATCTCTTTGTGTCTTTCTGTGTTTCAGTGACTGCCCTCCTACACCGCATATCTGCTTTCAGAGTGCATTTCTGCGCTTCTCAGTGTGAATTTTGATAGTGTCAAACTTTCAATCCCTGTCATCTCCATCAAACTCTCAGCTTTTGTTTACTCTCTGCCTTTGTTCAGTTTGGTCTCTCCTTTCCCTCCCTTCCTCTCACCTACCCCTGAGCCTTGTCCCCCCTTCTGTTCTCTTTCTTTTTGTTCTCTACTTTTTTATTCTTTTGTCTCTGTCTTCCCCTCATTTTCATTTCTTCTCTGCTTCCTTAAATAGGCAATAAAAGCATATTTTTAAAATGTTTTCTTTTCTTTTTATTGTTGACATTGTTTCAGATATCCCCCATTCCCCTCCCCACCCTTACCACCCTCCACCCAGACCTCACCCTCTCTTCCCTTGGCCCTCACCAGATTGTTGCCTTTTTTCTCAAATTTCTTTGCAAAAAAACATAATGCAAAAATAATATCCCCTTTTCTTTAAACTTTGGTGGCCTTCAGTTTTTTGTTTAAACAATTAGATCACATAGTTAATGATGACATGTTTTCTACTTTGAATAAATGCTTTAAAACTTTTCTTTAAAAAGAAATTCTTGATTTGCACAAAGGTGTAGCTCAGACCGTTTTCTTCACTTATTATAGAAGGAATATATCACAGGTTTAGTGAAGTCCTGTCTCTGCCTCTGCAGCATCATTTAAGAGGCTTCAGGAACAAAGCATGACAGACCCGAACCCGCTGCCCTGAGTTTATTTTACTGTTTCTACTCTGTAGCATTACAGCATTTACTACGACTGAGTACCAAATCACTCCAAAACGTAGTGGCGTAAAACAACAACAGTCATTTAGTACCTCTCACAGGGTCTGGAGACGAGGCATCAGGGACCCGCTTGGCTGGATGGTGTCGGCTCACACTGTCTCCTGAGGTTGCAGTCAGGTAGTCGGCCGGGCTGGAGGGTCCTCCTCCAGTGTGGCTCACTGACACGGCCAGCAAGCTGGTGCTGGCGCTGGGCCCGGGCCCTCAGTTCCTTCCCCTGGGGGCCTCTCCACAGTGGCTTCAGTGTCCCTGCAGAGTGGCGTCTGCCTCCCCCTGAGGAAGCAGTCCCCGAGACCAAGGCAGAAGCAGTGCTCTCTGTGACCGCCACTGCTGCCCCCTCTGCACACCGCGCGGGCCAGCCCTGCTTCCTGGCGGGGAGCGGGAGGAGACCACTAAAAAGCGTTAACACTGGGAGGTGAAGAGTTTGGGGGCCATATCGGAGGGTGGCTATCAAAAGCAGTTTGGTAATGTTGCAGAGATTCGTTTAAGAACCTTCAGGAACAAACTGACAATTGAATTTGTCACTTCTCTAGCAGTTTTTGGAGATTTTAAATGTTAATGAAGAAAGTGTTATTTTTAGATAAAATTGACCTTAGAGGTAAGTCATTGAAGAGGATTCTTCTGTAACAAGAGTCTGCAAGCTTTTTATGGATGCAGATCCTTATTTTCATGGTGTCCCTTGATTGCTGAGGTGGGGGAGAGAGGTCAGGGAGGAGCGAAGGACAGACACGGATCTGTTGCAAGTGCACCGCCCCAGGGACGCAGTGTCATGGCCAAACCCTTGGGTCTTCTGGCTGAAAATGCCTGTCAGCTCAGGGAACGGGCACTGTGGAGAGACCCTTCAGGGAACATTTTAAGAGCAGCTTGTCAAAGAAACCCTGCTTAATAGCTTTATTTGTACTTGTTATAAGACAGAACACCCATGTTCTGACTTTTAATAGGATGAATGGTAGAGGAATCAAAACTACAGTTCTTCAATTTAATTACCCTCTTCTACTAATTTTTAGACCATGATTTGGTGTTAACTTTCCTTAAGATAGGGATTCCTATAATACATAATAATATATGTTTTAAAATAATGTTTATTGAAGAATGCATTGAATTCATACTAATACCAACAAAATAAAAATAAATTTAAATATGGTGGGGGGTAGGGTGGGGATATAGGAAAGCACTATTTATAGAATGCCAACTAATAATTATGTAGAGAATTTTTAAAAAGCAACATTTAGTAACAACCATAATAATAACTGGTCCTGGAATAGGTGGTAAAACCTTTGAATGAAAGATTGTGGGAGACTCAAAATATCACCCCACAGAATACTTATTAATTACAAAGGAGAAAGGTATTAGTGCAATGAAGGAATCTTTTGGGCACCTACTTAAACCAAATAATCAAATTTCGCACCCCCAAAGGTGGGTCAAACTGATACTGCTGCCTGATGTGATGGATTAAAAAGGTGTGTCCCCTACAGTGTGTGTGATGTTCTTGGCCTTGAGGGTTAATCTGAATCTAACCAGAAGGAAACAGTCAGTCAAATCTAAAGTGAGGGACATTATGCAAAACAGCTCTCTTGGATACTTCAAAAATGTGAATGTCACAAAAGACAAAAAGAAAAAGCAGGGGAACTTCTAGATTATTAGAAATTAAAGAGACATGACTAAGTACACTGCATGGTCCTTGGTCAAAAAAAGAACATTTATAAAGGACATTAGTGAGATAGTTTAGGGAAATTTATAGGCTGTATGGTAGATATAATAGTAATATATCAGTGTTAAATTTCTTGAGTATAATACATTTTATTCTTGATTATGTAGCAAAATTTTTTTGTTCTTAGAAGATAAGAATCTTAAGTATTTAGGGATTAAGTGTCATGATGTCTGCAATTAATTTTCAAATGGTTCAGGAAAAAATTGTGCGTGGGGGTGTGAAGTGGGGAGGGAGGAAGGAAGGGGAAATATGGCAAAAATATTAATGGTTGTCTAGATAAGGAGTAGATGGATGTTCATTTCACTTTTTTTTTTTTTGCTTTATTATTTTTATTTTTAATTTTTTTTTTGTTACAGATGTTTCTCCTTTTTTACCCCATTGGCAGTCCCCCCACCCCCGTCCCCGGCTTTGTTGTCCATGTCCATTGGTTATGCATACATGCGTATAAGTTCTGTGGTTTATCTCTTCCCACCCCCCACCCCCTCTTCTGAGGGATGTCAGTCTGTGCCCTACTTCCATGTTTCTGGGTCTACCGTATTCCTCAGACTATTATGTTCATTATATTCCGTATATAAGTGAGATCATGTGGTATTTGTCTTTTTCTGCTTGGCTTATTTCACTTAGGATAATACTTTCCAGGTGCCTCCATGTCGTCTCAAAGGATAAGAGATCTTTCTTTCTTACAGCTGCATAGTACTCCATTGTGTATATGTACCTTTAATGGAGATTTAAAAATGTTCAAAACAAAATTGGAGAAAATTTTCAATTAAATAAAATTTTAAAATAACATTTATTATATGTCTTATTACTTCAGGTGAAATCCTTAACCCTGTTTGTCACCCACTATCCGCCAGTTTGTGAATTAGAAAAAAAGTACTCACAACAGGTGGGGAATTATCACATGGGATTCATGGTCAATGAGGATGAGAGCCAACAAGATCCAGGTATGGAACATTCCTATAACAGGTACAACTGGAATTGTGTTGGTTGTCATGTTTGATAACTTAGAGTTTTAGGAATATGAACTTTTGCTTAGTAATAATAATGGCTGTGAATGTTGATTGTAAATAACATTTGTCCAAATTAATTTTCTCTAAGCTGTGCGTCAAATAGACTTCACATTTATCCTTCCCATCTTTGAGTATTTCCCTGATATTCCTTATTTTTTTTTTTTTTAATAGAAGAAGAGAGTGGGGTTGAGGGACATTTAGGTTTTCCTCTTAGATTCATCTCAGGAAAGATGTCCTAACAGTCAAGTACAAAATATAATTAGTCATCTATTAAAATGCCCAATATTTTCCCCCAAACATTATTGAACATTAATTACTTACTAAGAGCCATGCTCTATGTTGGATGTAACTTTTTGTTTGTTCATTTTTGTTAATCCTCACTCGAGGATATTTTTCCATCACTGATTTTTAGATAGAGTGGAAGGGTGGTGGGGAGAGAGAGAAACATTGACGTGAAAGAGACACATCAATTGGTTGTCTCCCGCGCAACTCGTACTAAGGCTGGGTATCGAACTTGCAACCCAGGTACATGCCCTTGACTGGAAATCGAACCTGTGACCCTTCGGTCTGAAGGCCGGTGCTCTAACCACTTAGCCATACTGGCCAGGGCGAGACATGTTATATCTTAATTTGACAAAGAAACTAAATCTCAGACAGGTGAAGTGGCTTGCCCCTGTTGGCCACCTGGGTGGGGGCTGAACTGAGCCTAGAAGCCATGTCCTCTGCCGGCACTTCTCCTCCACTCTGCTAAAACTGCCATGTGGGATCTACAGTATTTCCCTAGCCTTTCCACTACTGTTACTGTCACAGAAATGAGATGTTTCATGAAAAAGAACACCATTAGCCGATAGAAACAAATTCAAGTGCTGTGTGCAATGTAGTAGATTTTAGCATGATTTTTTTCCCTGTGGTAGTAATTTTTTAAAGCCCCTGGCCTGTCAGCCAGTGATGGTTTATACAGTCAGTGTGCTACAGTGGAAAATCCATTATCCAGGACACTCCAGAGTCCAACTTTTATTTTGGAAGAGCAATGAGGATGGACCTGAAAAAGAAATCAGGCCACTAACCCAAATAAAACAAAGCACTGGACCTGAGATAAAGTAATGCTAGGCAGTTCTCACCTTTCACCACCATGCAGTCTTGAAAAACACATTATAAATTCTCTCATGGAAACAGTTTCATGTGTATTAATCTGCATCCGAAGGAGGAGCTTATAAGCTAAAACTCGGTGGGATAAATGAAACATGTTCACCAATAGGGAAGGGTCAGTGATACACATTTGATGTGAACTAACTACTAACCCAGAGCCTTTCATCTTGTGTTTCGGCATTTTATTTTACTGATTTGAAATTTTATTCATGAACATAATTTAAAAATTTTAATGATGCTTAAAGGGTCAAACTACCCCTGCTTTTGTCCTTTCACTCCATGCTCCCTCCCCATCCCAGTCTGAGGGCAACTGCTTTCAGCTCCTTCCTCCTCCTGTATTTCTAAATGAGGTTTATTTTCCTCCCTTGGTTCTTCACATTGACTTATTGTTGACTGACTGTTCATTGTGTTAGTTGGAGGTCTTCAGCTTTCCCTTCCTCTGTCATCCCAGTATAGTGGTTTCACATTTTTTTGTTTTATTCCTATTCCTTGTTTTTACGGTCATTGCTTACCCATGAACCAGGTATGAAGACAAGTGCATTTTCTTTCTTTCACAACATGTTCTGTTTTCTTAAAGGTAACAATTGCCTTGTTTTTATTTTTTCATTTTATTGTTTTGTTTGCATCTGTGGTTGAATCTCCCTTGTTCTATAGCATCTCTCTGGATATTTTTCTACATGATGGACTCTACTGATTCCACTTTTCCCCACTGGGGTCATTCCTCCTGGAGTCCTTTGTCCTCTTGCTCATCTGACCTGATGTCTCCCTGGGCTTGCCCAGCTGTTGTCCTGAGACCTGAGACCTGCCATTACCACCACCATAGGAATTCTCTTACCTTCTCTACTGTGCATTTGATTGCAAGTAATGGAACACTGAACTCACACTGACCCAAACAATAAGGATGTATACAGTCTCCTGTTACAGAAACCTCCAAGGAAGAGTGGGCTTCAGCTCCTCTTCTTTGCAGTTCTCCAGGCTCTGACTGCCTGCCCTGCTGGCTTCATCATCAGGCCTAGTGGCGAGAAGGCTGCAGCCCTTTCCGGCATTGCATCCAGACCTGGCAATGTCCAAAGGAAGAGAAGGGATTAGCCTTCCCTTTGACTCTGAGGAGCGAGGGGACCTTTCTCAGAGGCTCACTAGCCTCTCATCACTGTCCCATCTCATTTTCAGAATGTATCCCATGCTCAGTCTTAGAAGTGAGAACGGCAGGGGTGACTTTGATCTGCTTAGATTGTAGCCAGCATCAACGGATGGAGCTGGATAAGAGAACACTTCTCTGAGTTAAATGGCCAGGGAGTTAACTCCTTTATAAACCAGGGTGTTCTTATGGGTGGAATAGATGCCAATAATATCAGCTAACGGAGGTAAAGTTTGAGACTTTGCCTGAATGACCATGTCTCCATTACACCTTATACTTGATATATAAGTTAGCAAGGCTAGAATTTTAGGTCAAAAATCATTTTCACTCAGATTTGCAGCATTGCTCCATTTCCTGTTCACTTCCCGTATATTCCTGGCTATATTGTGCTTTATCCGTCATCTCTAGCCTGACTCCTCTTCTGTCTAAGTTAGAGGCCATTACATAGCTCATCAGTAAAATGCTCCAAATGCCCTTTGGGTGGCTTTCAATAGACTATGTTTATCTATTTCCTGTGATACGGTAGATAGAGCAGTGGACCTGAAAGAAACCTATGTTTTAGGCTATTCCAGTTTATAAAATATTGGACAAGTCACCTAACCTCAATCACCTCTAAATTCTAATGACTCAATCCTAAAAGTAACTCTGGAGTCTGTTTGATCAGGATACATCTTTTAATAACTGCCTGTAGAAGTTCGGCTTTAAAACAGATTTTGCTGTTTCCCGGTAACAAGCAGAAACATGAATGATTACTGTCACTGCCTCTAGGTAGTGTCAGGTAAGCTTTGCGGTAATACCCATTTAAGAAATGGTCTTAGCTTATAAGTCAAGTTCTTACTGAGCATTTTTATTGTGAGGCTGTAAAGAAATGAGTTGTTTTTACCATCTTCTGTTCCACCTGGTTCTCTGCCTCCACATTTCCATTACATGCACGTCCTCCCTGTCTCTCTCCCCCACCCGCCATCAAAGAGGGATGAAGGACAGGGGCAAAAGACAGTCTTGAGATAGAACATAACTATAAAAAGAGTTCCGTAGGTGATTATGGAAGAGCGGTCACTTTATTTACTTTGATGGTGTAAAAACCACCATAATTAGTACTGACGTATGTTAATAAATTATTCAGAACAATATAACATTTAATATATTTAGCTCTTATTATAAGTTTATCAAGAGACTTTTCTCATACATTATTTCATTTGATAAGTGTGTAAGCATTATTCTTTTATCAGCTAAAAATGAAAACATCAAAAGAGTGAACATAACAGAGAAACCAAATTAATTTCCTCTAAAAATTGAGCAACAGGCAAATGATGGTACTTTCTCAGGGCGGGTGCTGGCAGTGCGGGTGGAAGGGTGCGCACACCCCCAGCAGTACACAGACTGAGCTTACAGTACGAAGCACCGCGGGTGCTGGCAGTGCGGGTGGAAGGGTGCGCACACCCTCAGCAGTACACAGACTAAGCGTACAGTACGAAGCCCCGCGGGTGCTGGCAGTGCGGGTGGAAGGGTGCGCACACCCTCAGCAGTACACAGACTAAGCGTACAGTATGAAGCACCAAGAATACCTTCTGCCTCCAGATGAAGCTTAAGGAACACAAAGGACAGGTGGGGAAGTGGACAGGAACAGACGAGGAGAAGAAGCACCAGGGTATCAGAAATCTTGTAAATCTGGCTCATCTTGGACATTTTTGCAACACAGTGCAATCGTATCGAATTTTATAGTAAAAGCTATATAACCCTGCGTTAGATTTAGCACAGATCGAACTGTGTGTAGCACCGTGTTTGTGTTACTGTATTTCATTACACCCCAATTCCTTAAAAGTGTTTAATTCATATGTATGCACATGTGTGGTAGATAGGGTTCCCCAGGAAGCTGAATGGAGATTCGCACGCAGGGGTTGTTGCGAAGGCAGGACCATCGCCTGGGCAGGACTGGGCAGTGAGGCGCCGAGCGGGGTCAGCCGGTCCTGCTGGGAGCTCAGGGTGCGGTGGGCCTTCAGAGTTACCTTGGCTTGGGGTAAGGGATTCGGGCCTGAACCCCTTTATTAGTTACCACACAGAGCAGCTTACAACAGCAAACACATTATCTGCCAGTTTCTGTGGGTCAGGGACCTGCGCACAGCCGAGCCCCACCTCCACCTCACAGTCTCTCACAAGGTACCCGCAAGGTACTGCGGGGCAGCGGCACCTCAAAGCTTGACTGGCGAGTCCACTTCCCAGCAAGGCTCTTGGCAGGCTCAGAATACCTACTTCCAAGCTCACTCATGGCTGTTGGCCGGAGACACCAGCTTTTTTCCATATGGGCCTCATAGTACAGTAGCCCATGACAGGTCACTGGCCTCCCTCAGAGCAGGCCAGCAAGAGTGCCCAAGACAGAGACCACTATCTTTTGTAATCTAATCTCAGAAGTGTCATCTCATCATTTTTGCCATATTCTGTTCATGGGAAGCAAGTCCCTGGGTCCAATCTGCACGCAAGGAGAGAGGATGACACGGAGTGAACACTAGGAGGCAAGGACCTTGGGAGGTCATCGTAGAGGCTGCCTACCAACCTGCATGGCAACCTGTCACTGGAGGCTGCTCCAGGGGATGGATCGTGACCTTGGCGGAAGCAGCTCTCTTCAACTAAGGCAGTTCTTAAAGAGGGCATGCTGCTGGGGGTCGCGGGCCAGCAACTTTTCTAACAGTTTGGGGCAATACACCTGTTAGTGCCAAGTGGGATCTGGCTGGTACTGAACAGCATTCACTTCTATATATATTACTCTTGGTTACTAGAATATTTAATAAACCAGAATTTCTCAGCCTTATATAAACTATGCAACATGTAGTATTTCCATATCTGTTTTTGTTGTTGTTTTGTTTCTAGCACATTTAGTAACAGCTGTTATATATGTTACTTTACAGAGTGCATACATACAAGACTGTTTGAATACATTCTTTCAGTGGAGTAACACTTTTTTAAAAATCAGTTTTTATTTTTATTTATTTATTTTTTTGATATAGAAATAGATGTTCCTTTTTGATATAGATGTTCACTTCATATTTTTCAGTGAGCAGCATAAAACTATGTATTTCTTAGCTTGCGATGAATCATTTTTTAAAACCATATTAAGTAAGCTAAAAGATCCTAAATGCAAAAGCATTTTCAAAACAATATTTATTCTTTTTCTGGATAAGTAAACTTGATCAAAGGAGCTAACAGGTGATAAGGAACAATGGGTTTCTTTTTCACACTGTAAATTTTAATAAAGTTGTGAGAACTTGTATGCCTTCTTTACTCCTCTAATTTCTTCCAGCTTTCAGGCATGGTTTTCTTCATCTTCTTTTTTGTTTTTACTTTATTTTTTAGGCGAAGAAGCCCCTGATTTTGTCACCTTTCTTTATCAAATAACCAGAGGAACTGCAGCAAGGAGTTATGGACTAAATGTGGCTAAACTAGCAGATGTTCCTGGAGAAATTTTAAAGAAAGCAGCTAGCAAGTCCAAAGAGCTGGAGGGATTGGTAAATATGAAAAGGTCAGAATGATTGTGTTGCATTTTTTAAATTTATAGTGAAGCCTTCCAAGTTGTCCGAGAGAGGGTTGTCTTGTAAATGAACATCAGATCTACCTTTGAGCACCTCTTTAAATACTCTGAAACATATAATTACAGTAAAATGAAAATAGCTCTCACAAAGCTTATGTAAATTCAGTCTGCTTCTCTGGTCAGATCTTCATCTAATAAGTTGCTTGATTGGTTTTCCTGTCATTTGGGGTGAAGAATTAAGTTAACTCCTTAATGTGTGCCAACACATTAGTTGCTTAAAACGTTCATTTGTACAAAAAAATTACTAAAAAAAAAAACTCGATATATAAAATCTTTGGGGTACCTCTTTTTTTTTTCACACATTGCATTCAAATATGCAGTGGTTGCATTCAGAAATAAAGGATTCTGTCAGGACATGCATGAAAATAATAATAATATATAACTAGGTAATTATAGTCAGTGTCTACCTGTCACTTTATGGATTTGTTTTGACAAATTTTTTATTCTAACCTTGACTTCTCTCTCTGTCCTCTAGAATACTTATGTGAATGCATCTCACCCTTTACCCTTGATATCCAGCCTGTATGTAGCCAGTATATAAACTGATCTTCATATAAACCTGAGATGTACTTTGGAAGGAAGACATTCCTAGGAAAAATATCACATTAATAAATAATAACTTATAGTCTTTGATTTCCCAAATATAAGATTATATTATCAAATAACATAAACCCATCTACCTCCAGCCCCACTCCTGCTCTGCCTGGAGGTTCTGATTTGCCTGTGGGTAGGTTGCTATGCAGGTTGGTAGGCAGCCTCTAATTTGGTCATGAAAGGTCCCTGCCTTCTAGTGTTCATGCCTTGTGTCATCCCTTCTCCTTGAGTGCAGGCTGAACCCAGTGACTTGCTTCCCATGAATAGAATATGGCAAAAATGATGAGATGTCACTTCTGAGATTAGATTACAGAAGATAGTGGCCTCTGTCTTGGGGATTCTTTCTTGCTTGCTCTGTTGTGGGCTGCTCTACGGAGAGGCCCTATGGAAAGAAACTGATGTCTCCGGCCAACAGTCAGTGAGGGCCTAGAGGCCTGCCAACAGCCATGTGAGTGAGCTTGGAAGTAGATGTTCTCAGGCCTGCCAACAGCCACGTGAGTGGACAGATTGTGGGTCAAATGGAAAATCTTGCTTGGCCACCATACTATAATAATATTTTTTTTGTTCTGTAAATCATGACCAGATTTAAATATTGATACATAGTATTAACAATTGCCAGCTTGTATACTAAAGTCCATTGGTGCAGCCAACTTCTTCTCCTCCTCTCCCTCCAAGATTCTGCCACGCACTCTGCAGCTTCCCATGGTCAGTGGTGGCTGAGCAGGTCCAAAGTGCTGGAATACTGTAAATGACATGTAGCTTTCTCTGTTGACATTCTCTTCTGGATCATTTCTGCAATACCAAATTAGATGCAAATGATGTAATCAGCGACTGCCTGTTTCTGTTTGTTACAAAATAGATGAATATAAAATTTTTCCAGAGAGAAAAATAATCATCTAGGAGAGTTTAAAAATAAGCTGAGCCCTAGTTTTTTGCAAAGTCCAAAGACAACTTTAACTCCTCTTTGGTTGTCTTACTATGATTTTTCTTTTTCCCTAAAGAAACTAAAATAAAACTTTACCACAAAAGCTGTATTTCTAGGTATCAATGAAATATGGTATTTTATACTCAATGCTACTAGCCTATAAAGCAAGAGCAATAATATTCACAGATAATTTACAAATAAATATTTTAACCCTTCCAACTACTATGTGACATTCTGAAATCTAGAAAGTTATCTTGACAAGACAGAATATAGGAAGAGATTGCATTGGGATGGAATCGGATGATTTATCAAGACACGATATTTATTATTTTACCCTTTCACTAAAAGTGCTTATCTTATCAGTTTCATTGGCCAGATCAAAGGAACAAACCAAATCTTGTGCTTCGATGTGGGCTTGTTATACTAGCTAATATTTATGGGACGCTAGCTGTGCACGGAAACAAGTCTGGGCAGTCATTTGCCACAGCCTGGACACTATTCCAGTTATTGTTCTTGTTGCTTTACGTACATGAACTCATTCAACCCTTATGGCAACCTTGTAAGATAGATACTGTTGTAATCCCTTTATTATAGTAGGGAAAAATGAAGCCAAGTGAGGGTAGGAAACTCACCAGGAAACCAGGCTCACACAGGTAGTGATGGAGCAGTAGTTGGAACTGAGATACTCTGGCTTCAGCCCTAAACACATAATGGGTTGCTTTCTGCGGAAAAAAGCAGGTCCATGTTATGTTGGCATTTTAGTCTTTCATTAGCTAGCTTCGTTTTATTAAATCAATTTTACTTTTTATCCTGTGAGTGAGTATACAGAGCCTCTGGTTGAGTTAGAAAAAGGAGGGAGTGGGGCTGTCCCTCTCAGGAGGCAGTAGTGCTGACCAGTGGCCTGGGCCCCTTGACTGCACTAAACACCTCTCACCAGCAGGCCGACGCTGGCTCCGCCTCCCACTGCTGGCTCCGCCTCCCACCGCTGAGCTGCCGGGGTTCTGATGTCACACTTCTCATGGCTTTCCTGGTGTATTGTCCCCGACCATTTCATTTATAAAACAAATAGGATTTTATTTTCTCTCCAGGAAAAGGCTAAAGTGTTTTACAAAATTATGGACCATAAAGGATGGAAAAGACCTGCGAAAATGGACAGACGAATTTGAAATGGAAGACATGACAGACTTCTCTTCCTGATTAAGATGAAGACTACATTTGAAACAGAAACTAGAGAATTAAAAACACCACTGTACAAAACAACTGTCCAGCAACAGCCCTCGTGTGTGAGCATAAAACATGACCGTGGGACATTCCTGTGGGAAACAGCTTTGGTGTAGAAAGTCTGTTTCGGGTCCCTGTCATCCTGATTTAAAATATAAACACTTTTGAATATTAAGACTTGTGTTATGTAATTAGAAAATTTCGGGGGACGATAAGCTTCACATAAAATAAAAAACTAAATAAAGCCTAAAGTGTAGAATATAATTCACAAGTTTTTAGAGAGTGATATAAAATTGTAATTTATATTTCTATTTGTTTCATTTTAGATCATTTGCAGCTGGGTGAAATGTCTGGCAAGAATTTACCTTTTCTTTTGAACTAAAATAATTATATAATGCCACCAGTTTATTCACTCTGGGCGTAAGAATTTTTTATAAGAAATAGACTTATCAAGCTTTTAGAAATTAGAGCACAGAAGGAGTAAGATCATATGAAATTTGAAGAGTTAAATATTGTCAGTTTTAAGTAATTTAAAGATTGTTGGATGAAATTATTTGTCATTCATTCAAGTAATAAACATTTAATGAATACTTGTTATAAATTATAAATTTTCGTTGTTGAATTTTGGGGTTTTCAACTTTCTGGCAATTGTTACTTTTAAGATTTAAGTGTGGAACCAAGATTGCTCTCCTACAAACTACATGGAACTGAATTTACTTTAAGTTTTGGACCTTCCTGTTAACCAGTATACACACGTATGATCTTTGTGCTGAACCTGCAGCTCTGTTGGTGGAGAACAGCGCTCCTGCCCTGTGTGTTTAGCGTGCACATGCTCAACTGTGTCCCTGAGGTTTTCACAGCATTGGCAACCTGGCTTCTCGTGTCCATGCACATTTTGTTTCTAAATACGAGATCTTGCACCAAGGCTCTGCATCCTGTTTGCCACACATTTATTATTGCTGCTCACTTAAGTGTCTTCCACACATTGATGGGCATATTTCTAATTCCTTCTTTAGATTATTTCCTGCAGTGGCCCTAACAGTGACCTGTGGACATGGAGTCAGTATAGCTCCCCAAGTTGAAGGGTACTTGGAGTCGCTCACACTTGAGCCCTCTGATTTCCCACCTTTTTGGCATTAGAATGTGATGTTAGAGTTTGATTGATTTCGCCGCCCTTCCAGAAGTTCTCAAAAATGTTTTAATATAGACTTAGTTGGAATTTACTCTTTAAATTTTAAAAAAAGAACAATGCTTGTTAAGCAGTGTTTCAGTACTCTGTATGCCTGTAAGTGTTTTATATTCTTTCTAACAAGATTTCAAAGCAGGCCAGCAGGGAAAGGAGGTGCATCCAGGAGTGTGAAGCCCATGCGTGAGGGAGCCACAGGTACCAGCAATCACTGCGAATGTCCAAGGGGACGTCCGGCCCGCGTCTGGCTTTCCCAGGCCAGCGTCGACATTCCAGCAGGTGAGGGTCCAGCATATTGTCTCCAGGCAGTGGCAGTACAAAGTGTCTGGCAAAAGACACTGTGGAACATTGTCAGGTACATTCTCTGACACGGAGCAGGATGTTAGCCAGCCGGCCAGTTTGCAGGAGGTCCGACCTGCTCCAAGTCTGGGAGAAGACCTGCACTGCTAATTGTACTTCTAAGTGGGGCTCATTTCCAGCAGGTTGCTGAGTTGTTGGAGGGAAAGCTGTGGCAGAGTCCCAGTCATGAAGATTGCACAGCTGCCGTGGAGACGGGCAGGAAAGATGCAGTCTAAAGCTAGGTGTGCCGACTTCAAGATACTGATTTCATTTCCTCTGGTGATAAACCCAGAAGTGGGGTCGCTGGATCATACGGTAGTTCTGTTTTTAATATTTTGAGGAACCTCCATACTGTTTTTCATAGAGGCTGTTCCAATTGACATTTTCACCAACCCTTTTCTCCGCACCCTTGCCAACACTTGTTATCATTTGTGTTCTCAGTAACAGCCATCCTAACAGGTGTGAGGTGGTCTCTCATTGTCGTTTTGATTTGCATTTCTCGGATGATTATAGTCCATTTTAGAACATTTTCATCACCTTAAAAAATACACCTGTACTCATTAGCAATCTCTCTCTCCATTCCTCCCCCAACCCCCAGTCCTAGACAGCTGCTGATCTTTCTGTCTCTGTAGGTTTGTGCCCATATTGGACATTTCACATGAAGGGAATCACACAATGTGTGATCTTTGTATCTGGCTTCTTTCATTTAACAGACTCTTTCCAAGGTTCATCATGTTGTAGCATGTAACAAGACCTCGTCCTTGCTTATTGCTGACAATGATTCCATTCTGTGTTTACACCACACTTCATTTATCCACTCATCAGCGCACGCACATTTGAGTTGTTTGTACTTTTTGGCTATTTTGAGTAATTCTGTTGTACAGGTTTTTAATGTGTCAAGGCACAGAAATTCTTTTTTCCTTAAAGCTTCCCCAAGTAATTCTAATGTGCAGTTAGGTTTTTGAACCACTAAGTCTCAAGGACTACAGATGACTACCATGTTTGTGATCGGATTGACAGTCATTTGGTCTGTCACTCCTCTGCGTTATCACTTAGGACAAAGCATGGCATGGTGGAGACCCCCAATCAATATATGTTGAAAGAGAAAAGAAAAACCAAACCCTTTCAGATTAGAAACCCAATGAAAAGACTTGTCGTTTCATAATCAAGACACCATTTCATTAAGGATTCGAAATCCATACAGAAGTGTACCGTATCTTAAAACCAGAAAAGAGTAAAAATTTCTCTGACAACTTGTCCAAGTTTGAGCCTGTTGTCATGGTTGTTCGTGGTCATGGAGCTAGTAAAACAATGCCCACTGCATGAATTCCAGAGTAAAGACTAGATTGAATCCAATGTGGTCTACAAATTAGTGTTGACCTTTACTAAGTTCCAAGATCAATATTAATTACTGCTGTGCTATGTAATTATAAAAGTGCTATTTAATGTTCCACACCAGGGATATAGGTGGAGGAGAGAAATGAACTTGAATTAATACCATCTGTGGATTCTAACTTTATAATTACACTCAGTTCTTCTTTGGAACACTATAGTTACAGTCGTCCTCTTATCCACAGTTTCACTTTCCAGGGTTTCAGTTACCCGTGGTCAACTGCAGTCTGAAAATATTAAATGGAATTTCCAGAAATAAGCAATGTATAAGTTTTGAATTGTGGGCCCTTCTGAGTAGCATGATGAAATCTCTTGCTACCCTGCTCACCCTGCCCCGGCTGGGAACCATCCTTCTGTCCAGTGTGTTCATGCTGTATGTGCCGCCCGTCCATTAGTCATGGAGTAGCCGTCTTGGTCATCAGATGGGCTGTTGAGGTGCTGTCGTGCTTGTGCTTAAGTACCCTTATTTTGCTTAGCAATGAACTCCAAATGCAAGAGTAGTGATGCTGGCAATTCAGATATGCCAAAGAGAAGCCGTAATGCTTCCTTTAAGTGGAAAAACATAATAGATAGGGTTTGGTATAATCTGTGGTTTCAGACATCCACTGGGGATCTTGGAACATGTCCCCTTAAAATAAGGGGACTACTATATATGATTAGTATTAGGTTTATTAGAGAAGATACCATTAGGGAGATATCCATTCTGGTTTGCCTGGGACAGTCCTGGTCTATCCCTGTTTTCCTGGCATATTTATTTAAAAGTATCTTTCATACCCAGCTGGTGTGGCTCAGTGGATTGAGTGTCCTCCCATGGACTGAGAGGTCCCAGTTGGATTCCCGGTCAGGGCATGTGCCAGGGTTGCTTGCTTGATCCCCAGTAGGGAGCGTTCAGGAGGCAACCAATCGATGTTTCTCTCTCATTGATGTTTCTATCTCTCCCTCTCCCTTCCTCTCTCTCTAAAAAATAAAAAAAATATTAAAAATTAACAAACAAAATAGCTTACTCTTTAAAAAAAAATAAAAAGTAAAAGTCTCTTTCACTCAGAAGTATCCTGTTCTGAATAATAAATGATATAGTTACCCCAGTTAAGGTGCTGTTTCATGGGCACACTCACTAATTTTATAGATTTTGAATGTCATCTTAAAAAAATCTGTTGTTTTTTTACCCATTGTGTGAACTGATTTTTCTCCCCAAGCCTGCCAGTTGTTTTTGCCAGTTCGTAATAAATGCTGTATGTTGCGGCATTTAGAGACTGCAGCTCTGCTGGCCGGCACGGTAGAGCTCCACCTCGGCTACGTTCGAGACCGTCCCTGAAGATAACGTGTCATCGGCCGCATTCCCATAAAATCGTGGTGAATAGTGTGCACCTCCATGACTTCCTGAGACACACTGCAGGGTTGCCTTCCTGCAGAAGGCATTGTTACTCTTGGGAGGAAGAATCCTTTCCTCGCATCCTCCCTTCATTGTCTTTGACTATGCCCCTCCCCCCCCTTTTCACATCAGAAGAGTCTCATTTACATTTGAAATATTGTTTGCCATTTAAACCTGCTACTCAGCTTCAAGCTCCTTTTAAAAAATCCTCACTTTCATTAAGCTCCCTCACTTGATGGAGGGATGTCTCTCCCTCTACCAGAATCACCTAAGGAAGTTTTTGAACATATTTCTGGGTCCTACTCTAGCTCTACTGAATCTGAATCTCTGAGGTTGGCACCCAAAAGGCATATCAGTCAGTGTTCATTTCTGGCCTCATTTCTTCTTTCTCATTTTCTCTCCTCCTTTCCTGTCTCATTTGTCTCTGCATTATTAGTAATCTTATCTGGAAACAAATGTGCTAAAAATCATATTCCTTGCATCATAACCCGTCTCAGATTCTGTCTGATTCAGTAGGTCTAGTGTGGGGCCCAGGAAACTTGATTATCTTTTTAAGTAAACTTTTTTTTTCAAGAGCAGTTTTCACAGAAAAATTGAGCAGAAAGTAGAGAGAGTTCCCATATCCCCTGCCTCCCCTATTATTGGCATCCCCCACCAGAATGGTACATTTGTTACAGTTGATACCCTACATTGCCTCATCATCACTCAAAGCCCACAGTATATACAGTAGGCTTTACTCTTGGTGTACATACTATCTGTTTGGACAAATGTATAATGGCGTGTATACATAGTATCATACTGAGTACCTTTACTGCCCTAAAAATCCTCTGTGCTCTGCATATGTATCTCTTCCTCCTGTCTAACCCCTGGCAACCAGTGATCCTTTTATTGTCTTCATAGTTTTACTTTTTCCAGAATGTCATACAGTTGGGATCATA